TTTTTTTTTTTTTTTAATGGAAGGCAGAAGTTCTACTTTCTACAGTTTGTTGACCATATCACATCGTTGTAAGTGTTTTTTTTTTATTTGAAATATTTTGTTTTTCAATATTATTCGTTAATCTACAATTTAACACTGTTGGTAAAATGCTTTCCCTTTTTTTTCTGTTGTTAGAACAAATCTGATGTGTCTGAGAATGAGCACAAGAGGTTTGATGGCACTGGGTATGATAAAGATTTAGTAGAAGCCCTTGAAAGGGACATTATTTCACAAAACCCCAATATTCGATGGTAAGTATCACATGAGGGTGTTGTAATAATTCAGTAAGGCAAAAATGTGTGATAAATTGCGCTCGGTCTAGTTGTGAATGGGTGTGAAAGTGATCTCTCAAAACCAAAGGGGGGAGATCACCTTCAGATAACAAAATAAAATAAAATAAAAAATGTTAAATATAAAGTAGATGTCTCCACTAGTGGTAGTGAATTAGTGGTTGAAGCTGCAAAACACAACCCGGTGGTACTTGAGTGTATTGTATGTGTGTGGTGAGCTTTAGCTGGCTAAACAAATCAGTTATATTGAAAGCATCCGTATAAGCATAGTCATGAAGCAATAATATGTGAATAAACAATCAATAAAAGCACCTATATATAAAATCCAGTAAATAGTTAAACAACAAGTGATACGTTATAAAAAACGAAAAAAAAAGTAAAGTGCAGCCCAGTGCGCTCCAGTTCTTCTCAAAACTGGAACTACAAGGTTAATAGGCTCAAATCCAAATATCCTAAGCAGTCATTTCAGAGAAATTGCAGTTTGCAAAAAATAGTAATTACTTTCCTTATTTCCGTAATGTCTGAGTGAAAAGTTTATTCGTTCAATAGAGGGTTCCTCAGGGATGTCCACAGGAGTCCGTATCCGACCACCCAATGGTCCAGAGATTCCCGAACAAGACTGTGGTTATAATGATCCGGCACAATCTTTTCTCTCCAGATCTAGCACTCCGGTTTGTTTATCTCTTATGGCGGGTTTCCTAAAGACTCACCGCCCGACTGGCGCAAAGACCTGTAGAAAAGATAATAAATTATAATAAAGCTTAAAATCGTTTAAAAGGATGTCAGCTGTAAGCGGCAAAGACAGATATTCCTTGACGCGTTTCGTTGATTTAACTTTTTCAAAAGGAGTCATGTCTTCGTCTCTCCCAGCTTTATTTAAAGTCATCCAATTACCTTAAGCAATAACAGTGGTAAATGTGTAGGATGTAGACAAACTGGAAAAAGGAAAAAAAATCTTAGAGTTTGGTTCTAATTCAAATGGACGGCAATTTAAGATCAAGGAATTTATTTCATGCCATAGCACTCATGTCACTTATATGATACAATGTCCTTGTGGTTTACAGTATATAGGGAGAACCACCCGAGAATTAAGGGTGAGAATACGTGAACACATTAATAATATGAAGAAGGGCAAACGTGATCATAATTTATCTACACACTTTAGGGAAAAACATAACTGCAATCCGAAAGGAATCCAGTTTATGGGCCTAGAGAGCCATTTCCAGAAATGAAACTAAGTGGATTTATCTGATGGAAACGATGACACCAAAGGGCTTGAATGTAGAATTAGATCTCAATTGCTTCCTATCTAATGACTGAAGTAAAAGGGTAGATTACACTCTCCACTATTCCACTCTTTATTATCAATACTAGAAGGAGAGAGTATATATTGTAGATATACCACCGCTACCACATAAACATTCATGTTCTATTGAAACACAATACAATGGAAAAATAAAAAAATACATAAGTATAAATACTGAATATTGGTTGTACAATATATTATGCACTATATTAACTTTCTTTTAAGATTCCATAGAGTATAATCTATATTCTCTTCCCAACCATGTATAAAGCATATGAGAATTCGATCGAACATACCCCTATGTTAACAATATATTTTCCTGTATAAATTAGTCGCTCCTTCTGACTGCCTACCCCTCTATATAATTACTTCCTAACATATCTACTTAATTGACTCTTATCACAATATATAAGAATATAGGACATAAATTAAAGCAAACAGTCGATCCTCGATTGCCTACCTCTCTATACAACCACTGTCTAACGTAGGCACTTAGGTGACCCTTAACACAAGTTAGAAGGATATAGGACCATTTAAAACATAATGTCACTGTACCATTAGCCTTCGCTATGCAAAAGAATATGTATACGCATTGTTGTAATTCTATCATTCCGGGTCTGTATCTACTTTATATTTAACATTTTTAATTTTATTTTGTTATCTGAAGGTGATCTCCCCCTTTGGTTTTGAGAGATCACTTTCACACCCATTCACAACTAGACCGAGCGCAACTTATCTGCCACACATTAGACTCACTTACACACATTGTTGCTGCTGGTCTATTTAGCTATTTAGATTTTGAGTCACTCATTCCCAGCGCAGTGATTTTTGATTATTACAAAAATGTGTGATAATCCACAGCAATAGTTTGAAATAATAAATTACCATACACGTAAAATGTGCTGCTAAATCTGTTTTTCTATGGGCACTTTACATCTTGATTGCTCAAGTCCAAAAATCTGACTGATGTAAAAATGTACATTAAAACAGAGATAAAAACAGATGGTACTTTGTCCCTTCCAATATAAAATGAATATAAAAAGTCTATACACCCCTGTAAGAATGTCGGGTATTTGAGATGTAAAAAAAAACAGACCAAGATAAATCACTTCAGAATCTTTTTCACCTATAATGTGACCTATCTGTGCAATTCACTTAATAGAGAACTAAGGGGTCACCTTTTTATCTGATAGTTCTCTTTAGGGTCACAGGAGGACATATACTAATGTCCTCCTGTGACCCAATGGTCAGTATATAGCAATACTGTCAAGATCCACCCAGCTGGCTGATTGACAGCAGGCTCTGCCTATCTGGAGGCAGATACAGCAGTGCTCGCACCCACAGGGAGGGGGGAAATACCTGCAGGGAGTGGTGACTGACAGTCACTGCTCTCTGCAGGAAGATGATAGGGAAGTGAGCGAGCCACAGTATGTTCTTTCACTTTCCAATCAATAGTGTGTATCACCCTCTTATAATTAGAGATGTGGCTGTGTTCAGAATTAACCAATCGCATTCAAAGTGATGCTAAATAGTAGTCAGTACACACCTGCCATCAAGTAAAGTGACTGACTGATTAAGGGCTAGTTCATACCAGCCCCAGTGCGTTCAGGCCATATTCAGCGCGTTCTGGGTCCGGGTTGTGCATTGAAGTCAATGGCACTGCAGCCACACCCCCCCGGCCGCAGTGCGATTGCCAGCACCGGAACACGTGGCACATCAATGTCTGCAATCTAGTGCAACCAGAAAAAATAGTGCATGCAGCATTTTGTTTCCGATCGCACTAGAACGCAGGCACTGGTGTGCCATGCTTTCCGGTGTGGGCGAGCACACTGGTCAGGGGGCGTGGCTGCGGTGCCATTGACCTTAATGCACTACCATACCCCCCGCCTCAGAACGAAGTGAGCCGGCCAGGATGTGATCCAGTGCGTGCCGGCACCGAATAGGGCCGGAAAGCAATGGAGCTGGTGTGAACTAGCCCTATGTCCATATAAAGTTCAGCTGTTTTAGTGACCTGAAGAGGACTGTGCACAGGAGATGCCCTTGCAATCTGCTCACTCTTCCTTGCAAAAACACTCCATATCTGTCAAAGATTCCCAAGACAACGTGTGTCATGCTGATTGACTCCTACCCCAAAAGACTGAATGCTATCATAAAATCAAAATGTTTTTTGATTTTCATTAGTTTAAGTGTGTGCATACTTATGCAACCATGTTATTCTTAAGTTTATTCACCCCCCCTTAATTTCAATTTGTTTTTAATTGAATTGTCTGGTCTATAGGTCACATTAAAGGCGGAAAATTCTGAAGTGATGTATCTTGGACTAATTTTTTTTTTACAGCTCAAAAACTTGGCATTTTTATAGGGGTGTGTAGAATTTTTTTCATCCATGTATGCTATGTACAGTATCATTATATCTGTCGGTTGTTTGAACCTTTAAAATACATCTTGTTAGAAGGACATTTGTGCCTCATTATTCCTTTTACTATTGCCATACTTTGTACTTAGGGATGATATTGCAGATTTGGAAGATGCTAAGAAATTGTTGAAGGAAGCAGTAGTATTACCCATGTGGATGCCAGAGTTCTTCAAGGGAATCAGAAGACCTTGGAAGGTAAAATCATGCAAAATATAGGATCAGATGTAGTTAAATAATCGGGCTGTGAAAACCAAGACTGAGTGTATAATTATGTTTAAAGTCCAATTCTAGTGGAAGAAGTTATAAACTCTGCAAGGTTTTTTCACCTCTCGTCTTATCCTGGTGACCAAACGTAAGCGATATCTCCCCCTATATCCTACTTTTCCACACAAACATTTTGCACACTCGGTGGAAACGCACAAAGTGAAAGGAAATCTCTCCAAAAAACAAAACCGCAAAGCTGATAGAGGTTTTAAACCTCCCCCACTGAAATAGAATTTTGTGTTTTCAGGCAAATACACTGTTGCTGTATATCCCCAAAAATGGTTGAGTATTTTATTCTAAATATGGATTTTTTTTTTTATTTTTTTTTTTAAGGGCGTATTAATGGTTGGTCCGCCTGGAACTGGCAAAACCCTTTTAGCTAAAGCTGTTGCAACAGAGTGCAAGACTACATTCTTCAACATTTCCTCTTCAACTCTTACATCTAAGTACAGAGGGGAATCTGAGAAGCTTGTCCGCCTTTTATTTGAAATGGTATGTAGGCAATTTCCAATTTAACTAAAAAAGCAGTTCTAAGCCAGAGTGTCCATATTTGTTTTGTTAGGTACAAACTTTTGGTGACAGAACTTCTGTGCCCGAAAACAAGTTTGCCAATTTTAAGGACAATTTGAAATAACAAACTGCACACAGCAGAAGTCCTGCATACGCACTGCAACATAGAGGTTTTACACTGTAAAGGTTTTAATTGCATACAGCTGCATATTTACACAGCATATACTGATACATACACTCATTGTCAAGCATATGCATACATGCAGTATATATGTACCACCTATTTAGCAGCTGAATGAGGCCATTTCTGTAGCCCAGTATCTGACACATACCTGGAACCACTGTTTCACAACCTGACCTTTAGTTTACCACTGTCAAGTTTCTAGAGACTGCCTTATTGCAGTAGACTGGCATTAAAAGTCTACCACGTTACAAGAAGGTTGCTGCCCTGTTACCATTGACTATTGCCATAATTCTAAAGACTGTTGCCATAGGCAGTTGCTGCTTTACAGGTTACCATAAACTGCCTTGCAACAAGAGTGACTTTTGCTACAAAGGATTACCATACCAAAACAGACTGCTGCCACAGGGAACTTTCATACTAAAAAAAATAAAAAAAGACTACTGTCTTTCTGCTTAAATGTAGTATCCAAATAGACACAACATATGGCTCGTGGTCTGGCTCTAATTGCAGAGTTCCCAGGCATCCCCACAAAATAGGGTTGTGAGATACAACATGTGAGGCTGGAGATGCACAAAAATTGGTGAAGACCTGGACATCCATCTTTCCATGGCTGAGAGCTTGGGATCTGCAGGTATCTCTTAACCTTGATAACATTTGCATTCCATGAGTTTAGTGAAAAGCACTGAACAATACTACTGTTCATGGAAGGTTACCACAGAAGACATCATTGTTCTGCAAAACACTTTTTGGCCATCTTTATTATGCCAGTTTTACAGTATATCAGATGCACATCCATTGTTTCTGGAATGTTAAAGTATTGCATTTTATGTATTTATTACAAAAACATTAAATATATTTTAAACTAGTGTAAATATGCGAATTGGGCTTGATTACATCCTCTTGTAATGCCATGTACAGCACTAGTCAAACTGGGGAGGTAAGAGCACTACTAGAGGCCAGTTAGGCTCTGCTACGTGAACATACTGGCAATAGGAGAGAGCAGAGAGCCTCACTGCCTCACTGCCTCACTGCCTCACTGCCTCACTGTTCACTGCCTCACTGTTCACTGCCTCACTGTTCACTAGCATGCTGGGGGCAGGAAGGTGATCCAATTGTGTTGCTTATCTATAGCAGAGAAATAAAGTTATTTGGCCTATTATGCTCTCTAGCTCTCAGGACTGAGTTAACAGAAACGTATATGCAAATCCACTGGCAGGTAAAAACACGTATTCCAGTCATTTGTTTAGCTGTTTGCCTAGAGTTGATTATTTTAGGTTTTTTAAAATACATTTTGTTTCTAATTGCAATATGTACATTTAGGCAAGATTCTATGCCCCAACAACCATATTTATCGATGAGATCGACTCAATTTGCAGCCGCAGAGGCACTTCAGAAGAGCATGAAGCCAGCAGGAGAGTTAAAGCAGAGCTTTTGGTGCAGATGGATGGTAACTACTTTTTTTTCTTCTTTACACTCATACCATTGGTGCACCTGAAACTGTTCATAATTCTTTTCAGAAATGTGTTCATGTAGTTTGCATGGCTAAAATTCATGTTTAAAATCTTCTTCCATATGTTCAATGGAATAAATGTAGAGATTTGGAGAGTACCACTAGATGCATGGTACATTGACCCCTGTAGTCATCCTTCTTTGAGACAAGATATCTGTAGGAGTACAGTTGTTGTTGTTGTTGGGTTTTTTTGTTTAGTTTTTTTTCTTTCTTTTACAAAAGTTTTATTGGTATTAAAGTTATGCAAAATAAACCGTAATTCAGTGGGGGAAAAAAAAAGAAACATAGGCTATGCATAACAAATATCAAGAAATTACAGTAACACCTGTAATAACATAGGCATTCAACATGAACAAGAACAGATCGTTGTCCCTGCCAGGTCCCGAGAAAAAATCCTCAGATTACTCCTTTTACATTGGTGGTGTTTTTTGGGGGGAATGATATGGAGACAGCAGAGGGACACAAACTTGTCGGACTGTCCAACAAATAGCTAGGATTGTTAAAACAGGAGCACAAAGAGGGCCGTGCTTGGCTTACACAGCAGATATAGGAATGCATATGACCCAATTCGACACAAAATAGTCACAATAGCTACAGCCACGCATGGAAAGGTAAAGTAGGCAGAATGGGGCCATTGGTGTGAATAAAAGGATTTCAGCAGTCTGAGAACAGCAGGGGTGAGAGCAGAAAAATATAGAGAAAAAGACAGGAGAGGTAAAAGTGGGGGGAGAGTATGGTACACACCGACCGGCACCGGCCACAGATAACACAGTACAATCGTAGCAACAGCGTGGAGTAATCCAGGTGATGATTATACTCCAAACATGAAGACCACGTTTTAAAAATGTATAATGGGAATCGGAGGACAGCCATAAGCTTCTCTTGTGTCATGATACCCATGACTCTGTTTAACCTCCACCAAATTCAGTCTTGGCTGCTTCAATGATTCGCCAATGGTCTGGTGGGTGGCCAGAAAGATGAAGGTTGGTGGATTTTTTTTTTTTTGGTTAAAAAAAAAAATTGTAAAAAAAAAATGTATATTGTTAAAAGTATGGAGTCTCTTTGATGTTTCTGCAAGCATTTCGGGCAGTGCACCTGTGACATAAATATCATGTTCTTTGATAACATGTAATCCATGGTGGAAATCTTTAAAACGGTAAAATGCATTTTTCTTCTCTATCCTAGGTGTAGGGGGTGCATCTGAGAATGAAGACCCTTCTAAAATGGTAATGGTTCTTGCAGCTACCAACTTTCCATGGGATATTGATGAGGCTTTAAGGAGACGTTTGGAGAAGAGGATTTATATTCCTTTGCCCTCAAGTTAGTATGACGTTTTGAAACCGTAACATATCTGCTACTACCAGAGATCTGGAATGATTTGTTCTCTGCTTTGCTCAGTAGTATTAGAGGTTGAAGAAATTATATATGTTTTCCTTTTCTATTAGGATGATATGCCTCTTTTGTTACAATTACCCTTCTTTAGCTTTTGTAAATATGGCAGTCCCATATACACAACTTTCCAGTACCCAGCCCACCAGAAAGGTAATGTATATGAACACTTCTTGTACAGGTGACCTATTTTGTTAAAGTGACCCTGTGGTGACCAGGCCACATTAGGCTATTGGTCACTGACACAAGAAGTAAGGGGAAATCTCCAAAGAAATTCCACTCTCCCTGTGACCACAGAACACGGGCATCAGTAAAAACATAACAAATGTTCTCACCTTTTTATTTACATTAGCTCAACTAAATTGAAAAAGTATGTCTGAAATTGCACTTTATTGCAGCAGCACACCTCATTGGTATTGTGGAAACTATGCTCTGTTAGTAGACCTTGAGGACCACTATCGCGACAGTGTTTTAAAGCAGCACAAGGGAACACTAAGGCTGAGAGCTGACGCAATGTATCGTATCACATATTTAGATATACATCAAGAAGTACTAATGCACATATAGTAAACCCTACCTTTTTGGTTTTTCAGATAGCGGAAGAGAGGAGCTTCTGCGAATTAACCTTAAAGAACTGGAGCTTGCAGATGATGTTGACATTACAAGGATAGCACATAGCATGGAAGGTTACTCTGGTGCAGATATTACTAATGTTTGCAGGTATGTCTTCATATATTGTAAACATAGTATCATGGAGATTACATTTAAATATACTTACACAGTGAAGGAAAATGTAAATGTTCTATTTTCTTGTGGGCCTTATGTGAAACGATGAAACATCTGTGCTTTAAAAAATGAAGTGCAGTGGATCAGTTTTGCAGAAACATTTGAAAGTCGAGTATGATGGATTTAGGTAAATCCATCTCTTTTAAGTTTATAAGTTTTTAAACTCCTGTTTTGTTTTTTTTTTGTTTTGTTTTTTTAGCTGTATTGATTTTACAATATATTTGTCATGTAGTACTCTTTGTAAAACAAAGATTGCAAAGGACTCCAAGAGCTCTATGGGTTACGTAACTAGAGAGCACAACAGTAGCTGCCTACCTTGGGGCTCCCTTTGATTAAAACCTTCGAGTAGTATACGGGTTTGTCCCTACTGACCTGCTGCTACTGAGGTTTTGTTAACAGGCTTGTTACAATAGGTGGTAAGGATGCAAAGGAAAACCATGTAAAAGTACCTAAAGCTACACCTGCTAGCTGGAAAGAAGGCTACATAACAATCATGCATGATATGGCCCATTCCAAACTTTTTTGAGACATATTGCTGCGATCAATTTCAAAATTTACCTTTTTTTTTTTTTTTTTCCTTAAAATTATAAATTTTCCCATTTTTCTTTTAAACATTTTGATATGTTTTTCTATTGTGAATAAAATCTGGGTTTATGAGATTTGCAAACCATTTCCATTGTTTTTATGTAGATTTAATGCAGCACCCTAACTCCTTTTGGAATTGGGGTTGTACCTGATTTTTGTTCCTTAAGAAAGAATATATGCAGAACCACTGCCCTTTAAATCGGAGAGGCGGGACTGCAAAGGAAAATATGACGTCAATTTACTTTTAACCTGTTGCCGTCCGGCCGTTGCAAAAAAACAGACGGCGGACTCGCATTTGCGGGTGGCAGTCTCCAGATGGCATTTTTTTTTTTTGCGCACAGGCAGAAAAAGCCCGTTCAATGCAAAGAGCCGTTACCGGCTGTTTCACATACACACGATCGGCGGCTCTATAGCCTACCGATCATGTGTATGTGCTGGCTGCGTGACCCCCCTCGAGTGCTGCCGCCGCCCCCTTCCCTTCTGACCCCTCACATTCAATCCCGGGATCCGCTGCCCCATCTGCGGCCCAGGACCGGCTCGGGAGGGGGTCAGGAGGTAAGATGGGAGGGAGGTCAGCATCCTCCTCCTTGCTGACCTCCCTCCGTGCTGTGAATGCAGAAGTGATGTGTATTACATCACTTCTGCATTCACCTGTCAGTCATCTGGCTGCTATAGCCAAAGAGAAGAAGCTGATGAAGCAGATCTCTGCTTCATCAGCTTCTTTTGGGGTCCCCCAGGGGTCTTGGAGATCTTTAATGTCTCCATAAAGAGGACCTGTCAGTGTGCCTTTGCTATTATGTAGGGGGATTGATACCCCCCTATGTAATAGCAATAACAAGTGTAAAAAAAAGTAAAAACCCAAATTTTTAAGTCCCCCACCCCCACATTTACGCACATATAAACGTAAATACGCGTTTGCATGCGAAAATGACAATTGCGCTACACATGTTGCATATCGTCGCGAACGTCGGAATGAGAGCAATCATTTTAGGGCCATCAATCACTGATAACACTAAACTGATGAGCGTCAAAGCTTTTAAAGCGTCGCCTATGGCCAATTTTGGGTATTGTCGTTTTTTGAGGTTTCGCACGCGCAATTTTAAGGCTTGACATGTTTGGTGTCTTTTTACCCGACGTGACCCTGTCTTTTATATTTTACCCAAAATTTTGGTAATAAATGTTTTAGAATTTAATATTGGGGAAACAGTTTTTATTTTTTAATTCGGTAATTGTCCCTTAATATGGTAAAAAAAACTTGTGTTCCCATTTGTTTTATTTGGGGAACAACTACTATTCTTTTCTCACTGGTGCAGCCTCTTGGGTATTTAGTATAAGGCCTAAAAACTGGCATAAGGAAATAGTATTGTTAATGGATGTTTATTGTGTGATGCATAATGGTTATTTAATTTGGTGGAAACATGTTCTTTGACCTTAGATCTTTGTAAAGACGACTAATTACCTTTCACTTCTGTCCTGAAAAAGTACATAAAATCGATGAAATGCATTGACCTTTCTCTGTGAAATGGTGGGCAAGTCACCTGCTGCAACTGATTGTACCGGGAGGGGGAGGTGTGTCAGTCACAGTTTTACGTGTGTATTGGTGAAATCAGGCGTTCCAAGCCAAAGCTCCTCAATATTCCCCAGTATGCTTCAGTATATGGAGTCAGAAAAGGTCAAATTTGAAGCACTACAAAAGCGAGGCAGTGCGTTCTGGCCAAAATCGGGCCGGAACGCACTGCATCTAGTGTGACTGAGCCCTAAACCAAAACGAGCACTTAACCCTTGCAGTGCAGACTTGCCCAGAGTTCTTTAATGCCCTGCCTCCTAGGTTTTGTCTAATTTTATTTTAGTTTCCTTTTTTGGGTGCTTTTACTAAATGGGTTTTGCTAAACATGTATGTATATTGCAGTGATGAATGTGGAGGGGAATTCATCGGATTTCATTTTTAAGAGATTTAATATTGCAAGGAAGGATGGTATCCGAATAAGCTTTGTATCGACTAATCTTTTCATTTTTGCCTACACGTGGTCATCGCATCCATAATGCTAGGGATGCACAGATACTGTTTTTTCGGTATCGAATACCAATTTTTTTTATTTATTTGCCCCGTAGTTGCCATACCAATACCAGAAGTCCCATTAAGGAAGCCAAGTGGTGTGTAATGCTTGCCACCCGGCTTCCAGATTAGCCGGGAAGCTGTCTCCATGCTCCCTTGTTACCAGGTGACGAGGAAGCATGGAGCCGGCTTTCTTGCCAATCAGGAAGCCAGACGTAGAGTCATTACACAGCGCCCAAATTCCTGATTGGCCGGGAAGCCAGCTCCATGCTCCCTCGTCACCAAGTGACGAGGGAGCATGGAGCTGGCTTCCCGGCCAATTAGGGATCAGGGCAGCATGTAATGACTCACTGCACCGACTTCCTGATATCGGAAGTTCCAGTATCTGGGTAGATATCGGGAGCATTTAGGCAAGTACAAGTACTCGCCAAAATACTCTATCGGCACCGGTACTAGTATCGGAGCATCCCTACATAATACTCAGTGGGAAGTGATCACATTGTCTATTTAGTAAATCATTGCATAGAAACAGCTGTGTTTGAATTTGCAACATTTGCAAAAAAGGTTTTTGAATATTTGAATGCGCGCAAAATGTGCTTCAGGTAACCACATGAATATAAGGCTGAAAAACTTAGAACTCTTAAGCTGCCCATACACCTATAGATTATCTGCTGATTTTCTATGGTCAGATGGACCCGAAAATCTGCATTCTTCCATTTACACTAAACTGTGTGGATGGAGGATTCTCCCACTGGGCCAAGCTTCAGTGTCTTGCTAGTTGGTCCCCCTGGCTCTCAAAACCTGAACAATCCCTGCGTCCAATCAGATTGTTCAGTTATTTTAAGAGCCAGCGGGGCCGTACTAGCAAGATACTGAAGCTTGGCCTAGTGGGAGATTCCCCCATCCACACAGTTTAGCGTAGATGGAGGACTCTGTCTGCAGATTTTCTGTGGTCAGATGGAAAAAGTGCAACAATCTATAGGTGTATGGCCAGCTTTACCTGTTAAGCTGGTCTGTAATTGACAGACCTCTGGCACCCTGCACAGCCGGGCAGGTGAATACCATCATTTCTGCATTAGCCTTACAGGTTCTAGTATTACCTGTTTACCTCCCAGTTTGCTCATTAGATAACCCGAATCCTAGCCACTGAGTGTGCAGGTAACACTGCAAGTTGTAAAGTTAGAACATGCATGCTTGTTCTGGAGTAGTGCTTTAGAAGTTATAAAGCCAGAGACAGACAAAGACCTTCTTCCCTGTCACACCGAGAAGCATATTGCGCTTGGTGCAGGTTTTCTGGAAGGAACAAATAGCTTGTATACAACAGACTATTTGTTCTAAAATGTAAAAGTCTAACTTTTATGACTTGAATTTGTCCAAATGGTTTGATCTGACATGAGATTCTTGTCTACACAGAGATGCTTCCTTGATGGCAATGAGAAGACGTATTGAAGGGCTTATGCCAGAAGAAATTCGAAATCTTTCAAAGGATGACATGCACATGCCTACCACAATGGAAGATTTTGAGATGGCTTTGAAGAAAGTGTCTAAATCAGTATGTGCCTCAGACATTGAAAAGTATGAAAAGTGGATAGCAGAATTTGGATCTTGTTGAACAGCCATCCCTTGTTCCAAAAAAAAAAAGCCTTAAGTCTAAAAGAGCACCTGTCATGTGCACATAAAAATCAGAAACCTATTTGCATAGGATACTTGAGGGCCACAGCAGCTGTTCAGGGAGGTGGGCAGGTACTTTAAAAATAAGATACTGCAATGCAGGTGGGGGCGTTTCTTTGATTTTTATGTGCATGTCACATATGTGCTCTACTGGTATTCAGCGTAGTATCTGTAGAGTTCTGGGACTGGATCCTGTTATCTTTTTAAAAATCTTTTTGTAATATCTATGATTCTTTAAATATTAAAAAAGCTCTGTTTTCATTTTGCATGTTGGTATATTAGGCAATAACTAAAAACAAGACCAAAGCTGAATTGGAATGTGTGTGTGTGTGCCGTTTGTGATGATTTTAATTTCTGTTCTCGGGCTTAGAACTTAAATTATTCATGTTCACAAATCAAAGTGTCTTTTTCCTTTTAACTACCTCCGGGCCGGCCGTAGTAAAAAAACGGCCGGCCAGGAGCTCTCTCTATCTGAGCGGGCGTCTCTAGACGTCCGCTCAGACACGCCCCTAATTTTGGTTGCCGTCGTTTTCTGCGATGTCGTGGGTGCGCGCAATTTTAAAGCTTGACATGTTTGGTGTCTATTTAACCGACGTGACCTGATCTTTTATATTTGACCAAAAAACTGGGTAATAATAAATGTTTCCTAACATAATGTTACAAAAATTGTTTTTTTCAAAATTTTCAATAATTTTTCCTAATTATAATAAAAAATAAAACCCGTAGTGGTGATTAAATACCACCAAAAGAAAGCTCTATCTGTCCCCAAAAAAATGGTATAAAATTCATTTCAGTACAGCGTTGCATGACGGAATAAACGTCAGTCAAAGTACCGCAGCGCTGAATACTGAAAAATGGCCTGGCCAGGAAGGGGGTCTAAACACCTGGTCTTGAAGTGGTTAATAAAAAAAAAAAACTGCCCTTTATAAAATATTGAATATAATTTCATGAGATTGTTAATTTTTTAGTAAAATTTTCCACACAAACGTAATAGGCAGAAGTTACTGGTAACACCATTTACTTAAAAATGTAAATAACTTATGCACTCATTAAAGACGCCACCTTGTAAACATGTCAACAATTTCTGTACACTATTGTTTACAACTGAAACCTTGGTTATTGAGCCTTAAAGTGGACCTTGTATTAAAATTCACAATTGATCAATTTGACACGTCAGTATTGCCAAATAACTTTTATTTAAAGTACCTTGCCACAAATTAAAGTAGCATTTCTTTCAAAACATTTTCTCAAGCACTTAGTCATCATGTTTCCAAACAGCTGCTCCAAATCTCTACACTCTGTTTCCCTGAACTTTGTCAGGGACAAGCAACTGTCCATCCACTAGCTTGGAGTAGGGGAGTGGTCTACCATGCTGTGCCTTTGTGAATGTGAAGACACGCACACAACTTACAAGGATGGCTCCACTTAGTGGAATGGAGCCACCCTGAAGCAGGATATCAGGGCCAGTGCTCAGTGGACCAGCTGATGCTACAGGAAACTTTTCAATCAAGGAGCAGCATCCATTGTCAGTGATTTAATCCGCATTTGAAATACCTTTTGAATTTAATATCACTTTAAAGTTATGCTACTTCCAGTCTAGGAAAACTAGATCAAATGGCCACTAACTAGCGGTGGAGTCTGTTAAAGTTAAGGTGGCCATACACTCTACAACCATCGCAAGACTTTAGTCTTGCGATGGTTGTACAGGGATTAAAAAAACGTACGATCTGCCTATCTTGGACAGGCAGATCGCACTCTCGATCATCGCAAGCCCGCCCCCCTGAGGGGCGGGCTTCCGATGACCGCAATGCTGAATGGGCAGTGTGCGCGTGCGCACACCGGCCCGTTCGGCATTTGTCTTCCGAGCACCGTTCTAACCAGCAGAGAATCGTACGATTCCCGGCTGGTTTTCAAACATGCTGGTTCGACAGAAGACGTGTGACCGTACAGTAGAAACGGTCGCACGTCTCCGTCCACACTGCTCGATTATCGTACGAAAAACCGATCGCATACGATTATCGTGCAGTGTATGGGCACCTTTTAAACAGATCCTGTCCAGTAGTATGATGAAGAGGATCAGAAAGGCCTTCATATCTAATGAGCAATATTGATTGCCTCCATGTGTATAGTAATTTACAAAATGTATAAGGATGCAGGTTTTTTTTAAAAATACATTATTCACATTAATATGTGTATATTAACTGCTTGAAGTCCGGTGTTTAGACCCCCTTCCTGGCCAGGCCATTTCAGCGCTGTGGTACTTTGACTGACATTTATTCAGTCATGCAACGCTGTACTGAAATGAATTTATTACCATTTTTTGGGGACACATAGAGCTTTCTTTTGGTGGTATTTAATCACCACTACGGGTTTTATTTTTTACTATAATTAGGAAAAACTACTGAAAGTTTTTTTACATTGTTAGGAAACATTTATTATTACCCAGTTTTTTGGTAAAATATAAAAGTCGGTGTCACGTCGGGTAAATAGACACCAAACATGTCAAGCTTTAAATTTGCGCGCACCTGCAAATCGCAGAAAACTACCATACCCAAAATTGGCCATAGGCGACACTTTAAAAGCTTTTACAGCTCATCAGTTTAGTGTTATCAGTGATTGAATTAGAATCATTGCTCTCACTCCAACGTTCGCGGCGATATGTAACGTGCGGCGTAATGGGCGCAATCGTCTTTTGCACGTATGCGCCCCCGACGCATGGGTGGGGACTTTCAAAAAATGTTTTTTTTTTGGGTGGGGGGGGCATTTTTCCTATTTTAAAACCCCCCGTATGCGATGGTAAAATATGTGACAGGTCCTCTTTATGGAGACATCAGGGGTCACCTAGGACCCCCCAAAAGAAGCTGATTAAGCAGAGATCTGCTCCATCAGCTTCTGAAGCTGGAGAGTGACACAAGAATGTGGAAGTGATGTAATATACAACACTTCCGCATTCTTGCAGAGGAGAGGGGACCGGAGGGAGCTCGTGTAACGATCTCCCTCTGAT